CCATATATTTAAAACCGAAAAAAAGGGTGTTGGGGGGGGGGGGGGGATTTAAACCCCACATGATGGATGTCAAACATAAAGTAGAGGCCTTATTTTTATATATTAAGTTTTAACAGTTCATAAAACTAAAATAATTAGCTTTGATGTAGGCCTACTGTCTGAACAAAAATGGCTCATTGATATCTTTAAGGCCCTGTGAAACACTATTTTTGCAGCCATATATTTTTCATTATTTATTTAGTGTAAATCTGTGTTCAAGTTAAAAGCTGTAACTCTAATCATGATCCTTATTGTTTTTGTGCCTAATAAATAAAAATAAATAATATCATCTGATCATTACGTAAAAAGATAATGCTTACTTAACTTCAGCATATCTACTTTAATAGCTTGCATTGTGAAGATTTTTTTTAAAAAGTAGCTTCATCATATTATTTTCTCTACATCGCTAACATTAATTATACTGAATAATGGCATTATGAATGTCAGTACAAACATTCTATCTGTCTGCATCAGTGGAACAATAAATACACCATCTTTAGCATGTGTAGCACCAAATGAAAAAGTTCATTTTTCACGTTTTCAAGTAAAGTTCACTGCCTCCTAACCTCTCAAACACTGGTCACTAAAGCCTCAGCGAACTGACGACACTAGGAGACGTGATCCTGTTAGCGGCTGGGGGAGTCATCTATACTACACTCAAAGGGAGTGAGGATGGCCAGAAACAAATGCATTTGTCACATCAAATCTGCTGACTCAAGGTATGACTGCAGTGGGTATGTGCTTACATCAGATGTAAAGTGATGTATGATGACAAACAACACACACATACACACGCATAAAAATACAAACATAACATACAAAGCATAATCTTTAATTCAATAAACATCAAAAGTTTGCATTGCAAACTCATCTGTCCTGGGGTTTCTGTATTTCCGTGGCCTCCTCCTGCAGAACATTCAACATGCTGCCAGCTATCAGCCAGAGTCTCAGCAAATGGAAACATAAAACAAACTTTGCCTCTCAAACCCAAACAAGTCTTCAAACACTAACCTTGATGAAAACACACTCAGATATAAAGACTGTAACACACTCACAAATTGATATATTTACACAAGTAATCTGGTCATACACGGCATATCTGCAACATCAGGAAGTGAGCAGCAAATTTATAATCCTGAAAAAAATACTACCGCACAATCATCTCTGACTCATTCAAGGAAACTAAAGTTACTTCCATCTTCTCATTCTGTGTTAATTCTAAAGAATATTTCCACAAAAACCTACGTATTAGTTAACTCCTTGTGTTGCTCAAATGCTGCTTGAAGGCATTTTTAACCATTTTTTCATTTACATCCCAATTAACATAGTTTACTCATCCTCATGTAATTCCAAACATGTTTGACTTTCTTGTGTAAAACACAATGGGAGTCATGTCGGGATGTCCAAGCAGCTTTTCTCCTACACAATGAAAGCGATCATGATTGTCCCTGTTCCCGATCTACTTTCACTGTATGGAAAAAGCAACTTGGACATTCTGCTAAAGATCTGCTTTTGTGCTCCATGTAAGAAAGTCAAACAAGGGGTGAGTGAGTAAATGATGGCAGAAATGTAATATTTAGGTGAACTAACCTATTAATTGATAGCCCTTGAAGTAGTAAGACCATTCCTGCAAGCCTTTTGGCACATCTATCTACTATCTAGCAAATGTTCTCAACATTTTTGAATTAAACATCCCATGTGCAGAACAATATTCAAAAGCACACCATTAGGCTATACAGTATGATATTTTTCTGCAGCTTGTTTTAAAACTTTTTATTAATAGAAACTGTGAGTATTGATATTATCTACAATTCATTCTCTCATTCCAGAAATTTGTTGTTCAATAAAAACAGTTGAAGAAAATGGGGGGGTTGGGATTTTATTTTTAGCATTTTAATTTAGATTAAAGTTGACTTATTTTAGTATATTAATAAATTTTTTAAAATGTAAATACTTTTGTGTCATCCTGCGGCCCCCTTGAAAGTTTGTTGAGGCCCCCCTAGTGGACCCCGGCCCTCTGGTTGAGAACCACAGATCTAGAACACTGAAATTCCTGAAAAATCCATAAACCATTTCCCATGAAAAGGCGGAAACAAATGAAAGGCTTCCACTGTCCCAACATGCCCAGCGTTATCACTTGCTGGCAGAGTTACTCTATTCTCCATTAATTTCCACACAAATGCCTATAGATGAACTGGCGGCTAAAGACCCACATTAGGTTTATAAGACCTCATAACAAGTACGGAGTCTGTTATCAGTCCTGCTTTTCTGTAATTGATTATATTAACACTATAGGGGAAGTCGTGGCCTAATGGTTAGAGAGTCGGACTCGTAACCCCAAGGTTGTGGGTTCGAGTCTTGTACCGGCAGGGATTGTAGGTGGGGGGAGGGAATGTACAGAACTCTCTCCCACCTTCAATACCACGACTGAGGTGCCCTTGAGCAAGGCACCGAACCCCCAACTGCTCCCCGGGCGCCGCAGCATAAATGGCTGCCCACTGCTCCGGGTGTGTGTTCACGGTGTGTGTGTGTGCACTTTGGATGGGATAAACGCAGAGCACTAATTCTGAGTATGGGTGCTTTATTTTCTATATTATTTTCTCCGGGTCACCATACTTGGCCACATGTCACATCACTTTATTCCTCAATGAAACGATGCAGCTGTGAAGAGATTCTGTGTTTGTGCCAACGCCATTCCAGTCTTGCTGTTCAAGACTGAAGACAGCAATTACTTGACATACAAGTGCCCCGAGCAAGTTTACTTGGCCACTTGAAAACAGTATGTCTCTTCCTTATTGTGACTCCTGTGCCATCCTCTAACTCTAAACCGTAACATAAGCCCATAAAGTGTACAATGGGTAATTCAAACCACTATTGCTTATAAAACGATTCATTGACAGCACAACAGTTTACTAAATGGCAAAAGGTCAGTTCTGTTGTTCACACAGGTGTCCTCCTTGAGTAACCAACAGGTGTAGTTTACATTATCTACGGACATTCTCAACTAACCTTGGCAACTTCAATACTTTTCTTAGTTTATTTTCAGATCAATTAGATTCAAAATGTCACCCTGACTGATAACTTAATTTAAAAATTAAAAGGATGGACCATTTTATTACCCTACGAAGTCTGCCACCAAATCTTCAAGGCTGAATTCAAAATAATAGTGTTTTGCTCATATTAATAAGTCTTGACATGAGTGCAAAGGAAAAGATTTTCACAGGGATTGAATGACAGGGATTCACTCAGGTGTTGTCCACCTGCGCACAGGTAAACACCGCGCTTGCACGCGCCCTTACCTCTTCGAGAGCGGCCACGGTGCTGCGACAGTCGCTCATTTTAGACTGGAATCCAGAGCTTCCCGGAGACGATAGGTCCTCTTTCGCCAAAGAAACGAAATCCGAAATACTTATTTTCTCCGGCATGTTTCCAACTGCACAAACCGAGGAACTTAAAATCCTAGCAAACGTAGTGAAAACAACAACCTCAAGATCAAGCAAAGTGCATCTCCATAAAGTCCTCTAAATCCACAAGTGAGCGTGATGGCCAAAGCAGGGGAATTAAAAGTTGTTTCATAGCAGCGACAAAAGGCGAAAGTGTCTGTCTTCTCCGTGTTCCGCCGTGTGAAAGAGTCGGTAAAGTGTCTCTGCCCCTTGGTCTACTTTCTCTGTGTCGCGCGAGCGTTCAATAGCGCGTGCCGCTTCCAGATTGCGCGCGAGGGGAGGGATTCATTCCATCATCACGTGGGAATGTTTGTATGCACTGACGAAATGAATAGAGCGCGCGGAGAAAGAATGGATGTCTTCAGATTAATTTTTTGACTTTTAGAATGAAACATGAATCCATTTGTTCTTTGAGTGTGAAAATATTTGACCTTTTGAAATGACTCATAGAGTCTTTTTTTATTATTGTAACACTTCTATTGAAGCCATTTGAATAGGCCGATATTGTCTTTCTTATTCATATGGTAGGCCAGTATGAAGACTGTTTTGTTTAAACGTCAGTGTGTCTTACAATATTCCTAATATTGGCCATAAATTAAATTGGTTTAGAAATAACAACATATCCATAAAATCAATGTCAAGTTCAAAGGGTACAACGTGGCTAGCTTTAAATGTTTTAATCCAAAGCAAAACAAATATAAAGCAACATAAATATGATTTCTATTTAAGATTTTTGTCTTGTTTTGTTTCTATTTGTAATTTGGTTGTATAGACAGATGAAAAATCAGTGCATTGTGCACATATGCAGGCCTTCAATGGAGCATTGGAGCACAGTGCCAATTGAAAAGGATTGCGCATGCAGTTTCCATCTTTATTCAAGTGTCAATGCAGATAAGCCATTTCCTTAAATGCACTATGTGTGCATGAATGAACATGCTTATCAGTCTAAAATTTAAATTAAACCCACCACTGATTAAAAAAACAACTTTTTCACTAACACAATTGGTGCCTTTTCATGTGCAGCCTTTATATTTGAAAAGGCAGACTGAATAGTGCTTTGTTGCTTCAGAGCAACGGAAACTCGAAGTGCTTTGTGCTTATATTCCACAGTGTTCTGAATAACAGAATTTTCATAAGACAAATATTGTGAATTGTCTCATCCACCTCCCCTGCAGATATCATAGAGGTATGCCGGTTCTTCCCGTGTCCTTTCAAAAGCTGCACACCTTATCTTATCCTTTAACAATACAGTATAATGTTACATTGATGCAATGTGCTGGACAGGTATCAGATCTGATTTTATCCCTCTAGGTATGCACAAGTATTTCATGGTGTATCATTTGATTAGCCTGAATAAATAAATTAGACAGTTTTGGACAGCATTTTTTCTTCATAGTTGGAAATAAAAGCATGAAAAGACCCTTCAGACTGTTTAAAGAGTCATAAGGCTTGATACGTCAGATTCTGTGTGCATGAAAACAGCATTCCTGCACTATGTATTTATTTCCGGCTTTCTATCTTATTTTTCCTTAAAGACTGAGTCAAACTTAAAAAGTTAAATACATGTATCTATGTCTCCATATGTAAAATGGAGTGATTTATACAATGAACAAGGATTTATACTGTAAAATTACCAAACATGCAAGAAACTAAACATGACATTATTCATAAGATAACTAAACCCAAATAAATGAAGTTAACTTGGTTTGGTGACCTTAATTTCTCCAAAGTACACCCCATCCCCCAACGCAATGCATTACCTCACACACAGTATTCTCTTCATATTCTGTATTGGCTTCATGAGTTATTGTTGATGTAATGGTTTTGTGGCCAGACAATACTCTCTTTCTCCCCCTGGCTGTGGCCCCTCTTTGTGTGGCAGCTTTGTTGAAAGGGTCTGAGCAGAAATGTTGAAACTGGGTGGACGTCACTCTGAAGGAAGAGAAAAAGGAAAGTGGGTGAGAAGGAGAGAAAGGAAGTGTGAGGCAAAGTTTGAAAAAGTCATTTGTGAAAACTTTAACAGCAAGTTCTTGTTTTCAGGCGAGGTCTAGTCTGCCTTTTTAACTGCCCTTTCATTTATCCCTCTCTTTTTCATCTTCTCCACCTCAGTACCATATTTTAAGATTGCTGTAGTCACAGTGTGCTGCATGTTCCTACTTACTGGCTTTTGTCCTTCCCCTTTTGTTATGTTTCTTCGACATCAGCCAATCGCATGCATTTGGAGGCTGGATTTGGATGGGGGACGGAGTCTGTTGCTGCTGAACAAAAAATGAGGAGTGTTCCAGGAAAGGTTACAGCTAAGACCAGAAGGATTCCCAGCAGACAACCCCTCCCATCCACACTGCCAAGATCTGTTGACTCTAGAACAGGATCATATATCCTGTCTTGTCAGCCCAGGGAGGCCACGTTTACTGTAAAACACTGCAAAAGAGAGAAGACAGCAAATATATCTCACAGGGAAGATTGAGGGATTCTATACATAACTAGAGTGGGACTAAACTGTGCAACAGAAACGTGATGAAGATACGAAAACAACTATAACACTCCCTACAAAGAATCACCACCCAACCTAGTCATAAAATAAGACATAGGTCCTCCCTTTAAGTCATCACAGTGTTTATAAACCAGTTTAGAAGCAATTCTTGTTTTTAATGACAGACTGGTATGAATGGTTATTGTTACTTCATGATTATAAATGTGTTTCCAGTGAGGGTGTGACAGTCTGTCTGGGGATATTCAAAATCCTCCTCTGGAAACTCATCTGTGTGATGCTTGTGTGCAAACCTAGTTTTCTATTTTAATTTAGGTCGTGCATGACTTCACATCAGTTTTATTAAAATTATACTTAGATCTGCCCTATATAAACCAAATATTCACCTCACAGATTGTTTTGAAAAGCGGTGTGCTAAATATTGAAGGGAAAATGTCCTTCCTTATATTTTGAACCACACTATGTCTGTGAGAAGTGGAGCTAAATACAAGATTAGACATGTTAAAAAATGTGTAGCTGTTTTTACTGTAAATTAGATTTAAACTAATTTAGAAATAAAATCTGTCGTCAACACACTATTCTGACTAGGGATGGTTAAAACCACTTATTTTAGATAAGCTAAAATATTAGGGATATTTTTAAGCTTCACAAAAATAGGTCAAAATTTAAGCACAAAAGCAAGCACAAAAATCAATTGTGTTAATATAGTCTCAAATCGAAATCTCTGTGGTCACCCATGATGCATCTAAAGTGAATTAGAAAAGCAGAGAGCAGGCCAGAACCTGCCTGAATGAAACTGACGGAGATTTTACTGTCAACGCTTCATAACACACATTCGATGACTTTAACTGTGCTTAAGTAACAGACTACGATGCATGTAGATAAAAAAATAAAAAATAAAAAAATATATTAAATACAATTTTTTTAATTCAATATTCCTGTAATGGCCAATCTGAATTTCCAGCAGTCATTACTCCAGTCTTCAGTGTCACATGATCCTTCAGAAATCATTCTAATATGCTGACTTGGTGCTTAAGAAAGATTTATTTTCAGTGTTGAAAACCGTTGTTGCATGATATTTTTGTAGAAACTGTCATACATTTTTTCAGGATTCTTTGAATAGAAAGTTCAAAAGATCAGCATTTATTTAAAATAGAAATCTTTTTTTTTAAGTGTGCTTTACTGTCGCTTGATGAATTTAAAGCCTTTTGCTGAATTAAAGTATTACATTTATTTTATTTTATTTACTGCATCTAAGCTCTTTAACAGAATTGTTTATCTACTTTTATTCACTACACAAACCAAGGATTTTAAAAATCACCACGTTTCTTGACCACACTGGTTGACAGCAACTATATGCAAGCAACATTTTCAGACAACTTGGAATGAGGAATGACTGCAGCAGTTTATCAGTCAGATTTACCCGTCTGTTTTGTGTAAGCCTCAATGTTTCTGTAATTTTCACTAACTCATCTTTATGGTATTTCCTCATTGCACAGGTAAACCCTGCAGCTCACTCCAAGCATGAAAATACAGTTCAACTAAAATATTGTTACTGCACCTGCATACATCCATGGGGGAGTCTGCTTACACAATACAAGCACAAACAGAAACTTTTAACAAAAAATGTTTTGTACACAAAAATACGACTTCGAGCATTACCAGGGCTTTATTTATTTCAACACCACAATATCAAATATTAAGTGCTGCCTGTTAAACAGACGGTCTATAAAAATGACATCCTGAGAAAATCACCAATTTCCTTCAAATACAAAACCTATAAATACAAAATTATTATTCTGTACAATTAAAAAAAAAACATAATGCTTATTTAAAAACATCCCAAACAAGAAAAACAATACACACTATAAACTACAATCAAATACACAAAACTGCCCAAAATTAGTACACACTTCAGCACACTCATGCATATACAGATGCACATTTTTCAAGTTTGTTAGGACAGGACAGTTGTCCGCATGTGGGACAGTTGCATGAAGCAAACCCCAGGTAAAACATTTGTACATATTTCAAAAGGCAAGTTCAAGTTAATCAATTATTAAATCTGATTAACAACTGCTCTTAAACCCACCCCAAGTCCCCAACCCCTTAACAAATGCTGAATCAACCTTATCAGGTTTCCAGAATGCTGCTAAATACAAGTCTTTGTTCAGTCTGACTGAGAAATGCTTGCTTCAAAATAATTATTTTCACTGCAGAACTGGGTGTGGGAAACTAGTTGTAAAAATCAAGCTTTTCCATACTAAATCCCAACCCATATGTGCTCTGCATTTAAGACGGGTGTTTTCAGTACGAGTATTTCTACACACACCAGATAAAAACAGTTAAATTCTGCTTCGTCTCTGCAGCTATAAACCTACCATTCAGGTGGGGCAAGAATCCCAACTCCAAATAGGGAAAGAAAGAAAAAAAAAACCTGGAAACAAAGTTCACTTTGTATTCCCAGCAGTTCAGTGTTCAAACAGTATCAGAGGTTTCTGCCAGATGCCAGTAAAAGTCTCTAAACTACTAGTGGAGTAGTGAACCCTGAGAACTCCATTACTGTAATTTCAGGAAAAATTGATCAAACAGACTAGAAAACCCCTCACTAATTTATCACTTTGAATTAATCATTTGGAAATGTAAAAATAAAACTGAATAAAATGAAAAAAAAAACAGCTGCCAAATCTGGGACATTCCCTGAGGTTTCTCATAAACAGACACGTCAATGGTAAAACCTTGTTTCTTGAGCCATGT